TATATATAAAGGAAAAATAAAAAAAGTAAAATAAAAACAACATTAACATTAATAATTTACAAAAAAAAAAATAAAAAAATAGGACAAATAATTTGTTTGTATGTAAATTCTTTAGTTTCGATTGTCAATATAATAATAATAATGTGTTATCCCAGTGTAATCAAATAAATAAATAAATAAATTATTATCAAAAGGTTACCCCAGCAATGACCAATATAATGTGAAAAATGCTACAGTCTCGTTACACGAAACTATTCTGTCAAAATTTGTAACTGTTAGATCATAATGTAAAGATAATTGATTTAATAATTACAAACCTCCACAGAATTTTTGTATATAGAATCTCCTGTAATATGTAGTCAATCCGAAACCTCAACAAACTAGTAAACTCACCAAAACCTATGATACTCCCATATAGAATACAAAATCCCACACAAACTCGGTAACTACCAAAACCAATCACACCTCCAACTCCATACCCTCCCACACAACTATATATACACCTCATATCATATCTCCTATCTTCACAATTCTTCGTACGTACAATATATAACATATATATATATATATATATATATATAATGGCCGCCAGAAACTACGGCATTCTCCTCACGATCTTCACCGTCGCAATAGCCCTCCTTTTCCAGCCCGGCCCCGCTGCAGCCCTCCCTAACGTGACCGCCGTTTTCGCCTTCGGTGACTCCATTCTCGACCCGGGTAACAACAACCACATCCCGACCCTATTCCGCTCCAACCACCCGCCCTACGGGGTCGACTTCCCCGGCCGCATCCCCACCGGAAGATTTTCCGACGGCAAGCTGCCGGCGGACCTTCTCGTCGACCACCTCGGCATCAAGCCGCTACTGCCCGCGTACCTCGACCCGGCCCTCACCGATTCGGACCTGCTGACGGGCGCCAGCTTCGCGTCGGCTGGCACGGGCCTCGACGAGCTCACAGCAGCCGAGGCCTTCGTGCTGACCATGAATGCCCAGCTGGCGCACTTCGGACGGGCTCTGGGAAGGATGAGGAGGGCCGCGGGCCGGGAGGAGGCGGGCCGTGTCGTGTCCAACGCCATCTTTTTGGTGGGCGCGGGGACTAACGACATGCTCTACAATTTCTACTTGCTGCCGATTAGGAAGGGGATGACTGTGTCCGGCTACCAGGATTTCCTGCTGAGGAAGCTCGAGAGTGCTATCATGGTAGGTTTTTGTTACTTTGTATTTTACCGTATACCATACACGAAAGACTAATACAGTAAATACATATATAATACACAATAATTAATTTTGTATTGTATAAATCAATTGCATGCAGAGATTGCACGGAATGGGGGCCAGACGGGTGGCGGTGATGGGGCTGCCGCCAGTGGGGTGCTTGCCTGTGCAGGTGACCATCGGAAGCTTCTTGCCGAGCCCGCACATGTTCAGGCGCGTGTGCGTAGACCAGCAGAACATGGACTCAAGGGCGTACAACACAAAGCTACAGGCCATGTTGTCCCGGTTGGGCCGAACGCTGCGGGGCTCGAGGATTGCGTACGTGGACATCTACAATCCCATGATGGACATGATCAACAGGCCCGCTGCATATGGTGAGTAACTCTTTTTTATTTTCTTTACTTCTATATATAATATAAGAAAAAAGTTACAGTCCCGTTACGGAACCATTCTGTTAAATTTGTAACCGTCGTGGATAGTTGATCTAACGACTACAAACTCTGACGGAATGGTTTCGTAACAGGGACCGTAGAATCTCTATTTAATGAATTAATAATTAATATTGTGAGGATTTTAATTTGATTAGGGTTCGAGAGGACAGTTGATGGGTGCTGTGGGGTGGGGTTGATGGAG